GCCGTGCCCGCCGACCCGGCCGGGTCGTCAGAGCTGAGGGATTTGTGTGTGGTGGGGTGCGCGAGCGGGAAGCCACAGCCCGGTGCTGTTCTCCGAAGCGTGAAGAAGTTAATAAAATCACGGAGTACAGGACCGTAGACTGGAGTTACTGTGAGAGGGAGCAGGGAACTTCGTTCCTGCCCAGTTGTTGAAGAGAAGCTCTGCAGGGAAAACACTTGACGCTGGTCACAGGGTTGGTTTGTGCAGTTCAACGCTGTTCTGAACCTTGGAGAAGAATGTGTGCCTCCCAGTATTTAGCTGCCTTTGCAAGGAATAATAAAGATGATAAAAGCATTCCTCAGAAATCGTGGATCTCTCCAGTGTTGTCTTGTTTTAAACCAACTTATTCACTCAGTTGTGGCCTTTCCCAATATATTCTTCAGGGTTTTGTGTTTTTATAACATCTTGGATATTAAAGTTGCTCAGTAAGCAGATTAATGTCAAAGAGGCTGTGTTTCTGTTTCAAACCTTACTGTAGGGCTTATGTGGTAATGAACAGGATAAGGTTAGTATGTGCGCGTTTTGTTGTGTAATCGCTAAAGGAGCATCTGCTTGAGTAAAGTGAGAATTGCATGAGGGGTTTTGTCGGACAGTTAAAGGTATAACATGTTATACCTAAGGGCTATGCCGCTCTATTGGTAAAATTATTTTGTTAATTCATATCTCTGTTTATTAGATCTATTCAGTTGACGATGATGAGAAATCTCTGTCCAGTCTGGAGATTATCGTGCCACGTGACTTAGCAGATGGGTTCGTCAATAATAAACAAGAGAGCTACAAGTTCAAGTAAGTAAAACCTTATCTTTGCATTAATAGCTAAAGGCAGAAGCTATCACTATGTAGTGATACAGACCTAAAGAACCTGGAAAAGCTATTCCTAAAATCAAGCTTTGGTATAGGTAAGTTTATTTTTATACAACTCCATTAACAAGAGGAATCCTCCAGGATGTTCAGCTCTTTGCCTGAATGGGTTTGATAGCATGTGATAAAGTTGTGGATTTTTTTGTCTATCCTTTGCAAATCATTAAAAATTTCTAAGTCTCAGCTCAAAGATTGTATCCTCATTTTTCTGTTCTTCTATTTTTACAGCTTGTTTTGAATTTGCATATGAAATTGAATGCAGGACTGTGTATTCTCTTGTGATCTAATGAGTTGGCATAAGCTGGCTAAAGTTGTCTGGATGTAAAATGCTGTTTACAAATGATGTTTCAGATGTAACCAAAACACAGTAAAGGAAACCAGAGATTGTTGAAACAAAACCATGGTTGGAGAATGTAAATATTTTCTAGAAACTAAAAATAAGTACCAGCAATATCAAGCAAATATTTTTACCTTTTTAACAGAAAACTTGGAGGTAACATTTTAAAATTCTGATCACAAAGAAAGCTAGGGTATCGCCACCTCTAATGACTAGGTTGAGTTTGTCTTTTTCCAAGTTGAATATTATTTTTTTATAATACTAAATGAAGTAATTTTGTTGCTCTATGCTACTAAAAAAAGAGCCCCAAATGAACATCTGCAGCTCAGACTGATGTCATTTTACATCAGCGAAGTAAATCTGTTCTGCTTGGGAAGAGGGAAGTTGCCCTCTTCAACCGTATTAACATTCAAAACTAGCTTAGATTGCAAATGCCCAAGCCAACTGTAATGGATGCTGATGTTTTTTCTGACTTAATAATTTATTAAAAACTCTACAGAGATGGATTTTGAGAAACACTATGCCTTACTGTTCTTAAGACAACACAAAAATAATACTATGGAGCAAGTATTTCTTTTTTCCTCCATAAAACACATACTTTCATGCAGTCTCTCTCTCCTGGTCACTTCAAATGTTGTTCTTACTTTTGTGTATGGGAAACAAACACAATTGTTTGAATGACTTGACTAATTTAGCAGGATAGAATATATGCCTCTCTTCTCTGTGTATTGCATTTGCCTGTGATGTTGTATACACACTGCATAATCCGTGGTGCCTTTCTATATACCTGGTGTCCATAGTACCTTTCCATATATCCTCTGAAGTTCTGCTTAAGTATACAGTTCCAGATAGGAGCAGCAACACAGCAGGGCACAAGCAGTCCAGGAGTTTTCTGGAGCATATTAACGACAACTTCCTAACATGTGGTTAAAGAGCCAGTGAAGGGAGCAGCTCTGCTGCACCTTGTATTTGCAGACATGGAAGAACTGATCAGGGATATGAAGCCTGGGGGTAGTCTTGGCTGCAGTGGTCATGGGATAGTGAAATTCAGGATCTTGAGAGAAGTAAGCAAGGCAAAAAGCAGGATCACAACATGAGATTTAGGAGAGCAGTTGGCCTGTTCAGGGACCTGCTTGAAAGAATCCCATGAGACAGACCTGGCTGATTTTCAAGGATCAGCTCCTTCAGTCTCAAGAATAGTCCATCCTGATGAGCAGAAAATGAGGAAAAGGCAGCAGGAAGCCTGGTGGGTGAGAAAGCAGCTCCTGATGAAATGCAAACATAAAAAGGAAGTGTATGAGAGGTGGGAGCAGAGTCAGGTCACGCAGGAAGGCTGTCTGAGGAATGGGATCCAGAAAGCCTAGATAAGTGTACAGCGAGGGGAGTTGAAAATGAGCTGAGCTGCTGGGCTCAGAGGGTTGTCATCAGGGCTGCAAAGTCCAGCTGGAGGCTGGTCACTAGTGCAGTTAATACTGGGATCCAATACTGTTTAGCATTAATGACCTGGGTGATAGGACCGAATGAAGCTTCAGCAAGTTCACAGACAATATAAACCTGGAAGGGATGGATGATGCAGCAGAGAGATGTGCTGCCGTTCAGAGGGGCCTTGAGAGGGTGCAGAAACAGGCCAATAGTAATATCATGAAGTTCAACAACGTGAAATGCCAAGTCCTGCCCCTGGTGAGGAATAACCAGGAAAAGCTCACGGTTGACTGAAAGTAGGTTTGCAGAGAAAGGCCTGGAGTCCTGGTAGACAAAAGTTGACCATGAGTCAGCAATGCACCATTTGCAGCAAAGAAGGCCAACAGCCTCTGGGCTGCGTTAGGAAGAGCATTGCCAGCAGGTCAAGGGAGTTGATGCTTCCCCTTTTGTCACCACCAGTGAGATCACATCTGGAGTTCTGTGTCCAGTTCTGGGCTCCAGCAAAGGGACACAGAGGTAATTAAGGGACTGGAGCACCTGATATGTGAGAAGAGGCTGAGAGATCTGGGACTGCTTATCCTGGAAAAGAGAAGGCTCGAGGGGGATCTTATCAATGTTGATAAATGTCTGATGGGGAGGGAGGGGAAGGAATAAAGAAGATGGAGGCAGATGCTTTTCAGTGGTGCCCAGCAACAATACAAGAGTTAATGGGCACAAATTGAAATACAGGGAAGTTTAGGGGGGGCAAGGAAGAAGAAAAAAAACCAAACAAACACAAAACTTTTTACTGTGGGCTGATCAAATACTGGAACAGATTGCCCAGAGAGGTTGTGCACCCTCCAGGCATGGAGTCACTCAAAGCCTGACTGTATGGACCCCTGCAATAGCTGACTGCCCTTTGAGCAGGGGGATTGGAGCAGATGGCCCCTTCCAAGTTCAAGGTTTCTATGGTTTTGTGAGACACTGCATGTATTTTGTATAGGAAGTGACAAAACTTAGATTGAATTCAGTATCTCCTTGTGACTTGACAGTAACTGTGCAGCAGAATGAAGGAAGTAGTTATGAAAAAATGTGAGCCTGGCTGTACTGGTGGGATGCTGTATTTGGTTATAGTGTAATCTATTTATCCAGGTTTCAGTGTGGTGCCAGTTACAAACACTGATTCTCTTGATAGATTTAAAATACGGTTTATTTTTTTCGAAGCCACATCATTTTGTCAGAGGATTTTATTGTACAGATCTTGTCAAAGCAGCACTGTGTACAGCCTATTTATGTACAATAGCACAACAGCATGCTGTGGTTAAGACTACAGGGAAAACATTGTACTAAGTTATGTAAGCCTAATGATGTAAACATTGACTATTGCAAACACAAACAAAAATGTATGAATCAAGTACTGTTTTAAGATTCTAAGCACCTCTTTGCTTAATATTTTCAGATTTCAAAAAATTTTTGATCAAGAGGCAAAACAAGATGTGGTTTTTGACAACATTGCCAAACCAGTAGCCGAATGGTACGTTGTTGATCTTGCAAGTAATCGGGGTAACACAGGGTCAAAAATAGCTTTCATTGTATTGCTTGGAGGAGAGCTGGCAAGTGTTTATCTTGCTGTTTTAAAGTGGATTGATATTTTAATTCTCTAAATACTGACATGTTGGAATCTAGGAGATATGCAACAATCTCCTGAGAATTTTATTTATGGAGAGGTTCCATTTTAAACTCCTAAAATAGCATTGCTACTTTGCCTTTTCCATTGGATAGGCATAGAAATCCATGTCTAGTTAGGTTTTTGTCTATAATACAAGCTCACTACATTGCAAGTTAGTCTTTTGCTTATAAGTGCACTTCGTTGCCTTAGAAAAACATTCCTTATATACTTCCATGAAGGGGTAAATGTAACAAAAATATTATCTCCCTGTTTACTTTTCATTAAGTTAGGAACACTCATGAATTAATACCTGTGGAGATTTTCTGAGATTTTTGCCCTCATTTTTTTTCTTAATGTTTAAGACAGTGATTTTTGGCACTGTTTTTATTTTTCTCCTCCAAGCAATGAACAAACAATACTCATATTTTTGGGTTTGCAATGACAAGCATTTAAGCATGTAGAAGCTCTCTTCATTCATTGTGTTCATTGAATGACATGCTGAACCAGATGGGTTTTCCAATATGCCATTCTCTTCATGCTGCTTATGCCCACATTTCTGGTTTTATTGGAGGAGAAAATCCCACACTGGAGGAGGCAGATTTTCTGTATAATGTTTGTTTAGCAAACTTATTGCTCAGAATTCAAACTTGTAGTGAGTTGGGAAATCTTATTTCAGGCACCAGCTTCTAATTCATTGTCTGACCCATCCATTGGTTTAAGCTATCACAGGGCAAGTTATACTTCAGCATATTGCACTGTCATGCGTGTTGCACTGTAGGAAAACAGACACCCTCAGCTGGACATGTGATCTTCAAAAAAAAATTTGTTATATTTTTCTTTCACCCAAAAGGAATTCCTTAGCTTATCAGACTTTATAACATATAGGTTCAGCCTAACTGATTTACTTAACTTTAAATGTTTCTGGGTTTAGTGGTGACAGCAAAAAAAAAAAAGTTTATCTTCTTTGACTGTGCTTGGAAAGGGAACGCTTAAAAGTCTCATTGTTACATGCTATGGACTGAATTATGGTCAACAAAATCTCAGAGTATCAAAGCTAACTAGCAACAGACTTCCCCCCCCTTCCACCCCCCTCTCCCCCCCCACACACACTTTAGAGTGTTGTGCTAGAGTATGGAAAGGTTTTCCAGTTGAATAATTCACCCATACATTGATCTAATAAACAGAAGTGGTATTGTTTTCCTCTATTTCAGTGTTGGCTGATACAAAGTTTTTGTACATTGATTTGCTCTGTTATGTAGACCTTAGTTTTGATATTTATATACTTTAAGTACTTGAAAGTACTTAATCCTATTAAAATCAATGGTATTTAGGCATACAGATGAGTCTATAATGCTTAATTTGACTTATAAAATAATTCTTAACTGAATCAAGACCATTTTGAATGAGTTAGTGTGTTAAAACTTGCATTCTAATTATATTGCTACTGATAATAATGAAGGATAATTTTGCTTTTTTATAGTGGAGTAGGCAATATCTGAAGTATGTTCCTGTTTCTCATCCTCTTCCTTAGTTTATACCTGTTCTTAGGCAAAAATGTTTTTCAAAATGTCTTGCCATGAGGCTCCTTGGCTAACACAGTCTTGAACTGTGTCTGAAACTTATTTCACTATAGTGTTAATGTCGCAATTTTCCTTTCTACTTTGGGAAAATAAGAATTGCCATGTTACACTGAAAGACCATAGTCTTTCATAGCAAAATGTTCTTCATTATTTGTTTCTTTCTAAGTCAAGGTTCTCTTACAAGGGTAAACTGTTGAAAAAATGCTCATTTCTGTTGTTGGAGTCACTTTACGAAAGGAACAGTTTTTGCCTGTGTATTGCCAGGGAAAAGAAAGTAGCAGGAAAGTATCAATGAAATAGTTCAGTAACATTTTGAGGCTCCTTGCCATGCATACTTAGTCATGAGCAAATTCAGTTACAGACTTGAATACTCAAAAAAAAAAAAAAGGTGGGCATTGTTTAAATTAAAACCAGCAATGAATACAGTTCAGGATTCTAAAGTCTTTCTAGTTTGTTCTCGCATGGATGAAAATTGGATACAACCTTTTGGCCTTTTTTTCCCTTTCTTTTTTTCCTTTCTTTTGTGTGCTTTTTTGATGTTCAGTCACTACTTTTCTCTATTTAATTCCAGTTATGTTGTCATCTTGCCTGTGGTTTCAGAGGCACCAGACATTAGTTCATTTAATTCACTTCTTCAGTCAGAAGTGCCAGTCTCTGCAAACCATTATAATCATGTGAATTGCTTGATTTATTTTTACTACTTTTTGTTAATGTTTGAGTCATGTCTTGGTTTTTTTTTTTTAATTTGTTTGTGCTTTCCTCTTTTCCTTTTCAATATATTTTCTTGATTTTATTTTTTTTTGTGCAGAGCAAACTTGATCTTTAAGAAGGAACACAAACTCTTACTCAAAAATAAAGAAATAACCTTCATTGTACAGTTTGCTAATAATTAAACATTGCTTTAGCAACAGAACAAGGTTAGTCTTGCAATGCTTCAAATGTTAGTGTTATGATGATGAATGCAATCAGAAATTAAGTAGAAAATCTCAGTGCTTTTGATTAGTTTTGTTTTCAGTTCCAATATGGCCAATGGTTTGTGTTGATTATTAAAGAATTGAAAACAAATTTTCAAAACATTGAAAATATTCTCTCTTCAGTTATATCATGCAAATAAGAAACAGCTCAGCTGTTTATAAACCTAATGGCAAACACCTATGTGATAGCCTTCAGGATAATTTTAGTTTCTTCTTGTGTGCTGCATTTATATAAGAATTAACATTTACAAATTAGCATTTGTAATATACTAGATACTTCCCTTTAGTGCATTTTTTTTATTCTAATGCTTATTCTTACTGAAAATGTAGTAAAACTAATCTGCAGAACTTCATCATTATAATGTTGACTATATTTTGTAATGTCCCCCTTTCCAGTTTTAGAAAATATTTCATCAGTAATTGAAAATGTTCACAAAATATTTTTACATCATTAGATCGCCTTGTAGTACAGAGTCACAGGATGTAGACTAAACACAGGGCATTTCTAGCTTTACTAAATATGCCTATAGAAATCCCGTCACCATCCTTCGCTTTTCTTCCTGTTTAAGTCTCTGAATAAGATGATAGAAGTGTTTAGACCTCATGTTTTGTGGTTTGTTTGTTTTTTTTGTCTCTCACTAATAACTCGGGGATTTGTTTTGTACTATGTATTCAAGGAGAACAGAATATCTACAAGTTTATTCAAAGTACTGACATTTCAGTAGTTTGTAGAAGGTGCTAATTTTCTCTCAAATTGTGCTCTCCTGACTATCAAAACTGGAGTAATGCTGAATGTGCTTCACTTTCACTGACTTTGACAGGATTGTGGTTTACTAATCACTTTGAAATTTGAACCATTAGATAAGAAATTGCTTGAAATATAAAATCTAACTTATTTACTGCAAAATCTTGTAAACTATTTTACTTATTCCAAATAAATTATGACTTCTGTCTTTGAACATCATAGAGTAAAAGAAATTGAAAGATTCTTAAAAACTGCAGATTCTTATTTCTGGAGGTTTTTTATGGTTCTTCCTTACTTTTTAAAGCTAGTTATTAGGGACAGATATAAGTCACACCTTTATGTCTATTTAGCAAAAGGAACACTTTCCATTTTATTTTTTTGGAAGCCCTTTTCATATATATCTGAGTATGAATTTCTCCTAACAAGAACAATGTGGAATTAATGGGGGTATTCCTTTTGTAGTGCTTAATCTGCAGACATTGTCATTCTTTGAAATGTGAAGTTTGTATTTTCTTGTGATGTAGATCTTAAATTGTGAAGGAAAATAAAACTCGCGTATCCAAAGCGTTAAAATACTTTGGTTTA